CACCCTGTATTGCTGAAGCCACGCATTTTTCGACCCATGTTTATATAGGCTTTATGCATTAATTTTAAAAGTTCTATCGAATCTTAAAGTTATGCAGAAAGAAACACCCTGTATACACTTCATGCACGGTCGCGATATCTCAAGTTATATGTACAAATGAGAGAAATCCCTATCTGAATCTAGCAGTTACCCTAGCGATAGAGCGGAGAAGGAGGACAATCGGTTAATTCTGGGTCGAACGGAATCAAAAGCGGTTAAAAAGCAACGGTTAAAGCGGAAGCAGTATGCGGTCAAACTAGCAAGTGGTAATGATGTGTTGCGATATGCCCAAAGCGATGAACGGTTTTCAGCAATATGGTTATGTTTTGGTGAAGAATAAGACCAGGCGTTTAGTTAACCCGCGTCTACTTCAAACTCTGCTTGTCTCGTTCTCCATTGGATTTCAATCTGCACCCCAGGGAAGTAAGCACACTGCAGACAAAGATGTGCCTCCCCAACTTGCTTCTTGAACCCCAAAGCAATTATAAAACTCCTAAAGTCAAGCCGCGTACTATCGCTAATGGACCTTTACTAAACTAAACTAATAGCTTCCTCATGAATGTATAAAACACATCTGTATACAGGGTGACTTTGAAGTTGAGTCATTAATTTTCAGATAATGATTGTAGAAGGAAGATAAACCAAAATATGTGTGTAAAAATAAAAAAAAAATTAAAAAAAATATTTACCTTGTTTTATAAAGTATCCTCCCGACAAGTATTTCAGTGCGGACCTGTATTTGATCGTGAGGTCCCCTGTGAGGTCTTAAGTCACCTGATTCACGAGCCCGTTGTACTACATTAACAAAGGCACGAGGGGTTGGTTGCACTCGATTGGGAAACCGATCCGCATAAACATGTGCCATTTTTTATTTCGTTTGAGCCACGCAACAGACACTATTCACACGCGACTAAAACTGACTGTATGTATAACTGAACTGAATTGTAATCGTAAAAAGATCGTTCCAAATTATTTCGCTTTTTTGTTTCCGATGCGATGAACCGTTGTTGCCAAACACGAACACATGATATTATTGAGACAGGGCGGTACTCAAACTTCCAAAGGGCTATAACTTTGTTACTTTAATTTTACCAGAAAAATTAGATATTGGTACGTATATTTCTATAGTTCCGGGACCTTCAGGGACGTAAAAATTTATTATATATAATTTGCAAGGCCAACCAAAAATAAATACACCTTTTGTTTCGGCTTTCAGTTTCAAGAAATAGAACTTTATCGCGTGATTGGCATTAGGGTTAAGTCAGTACATGTTCTAGACAATCGCCAGGTGTACCGAGGATCCACTAGTATCTTCCGAAAACTTGGTGTCTAACTTGCAAGGGAGGGGGTCGTACTCAGAGAAATTGAGAACACTGCCTGGTAGATGCGGTCGGGTATATCGAATCACCAGTCGGATGTATAAATATGTACAAATAATCTTGAATAAAAGCGCTTTTGTACAGGGTGCGGCAGAGAGGACGGACGTTTTTGGGATGGGTAGTATTCTCCGCCTCCGTCTACGAGAGAGGTGGAGAGAGTGCCGTTTGACTCGTGAGATCCTAGCATTATTTTACCAGTTGTCGTTATGGAGCCTTGGACGGTGGAGCTCCGCGTTTTCGCCTACGATTGTTTCGTCTGAAATAATGAGTCATTGTCGTACAGCGTGAGTTTCGTCGCCACTTCAACATTCATCGGAATAGAGCTGTTCCCTCTCGAAACACCATCCTTCGTTGGGTTTATCACTTCGCAGGCGTGGTGAATTGATCAACAGAAGACCAAGAGGAGCGCCGCGAACAGTTCGAACTCCTGAAAATGTTGAACGCGTTCGACAGGTCTTTCTTCGCAGTCCGACTCGATCTGCCCGGAAACATGCTGCTGCACTTCGCCTTAGTAATCGTTCGGTAAGGCGAATTTTGCATATGGATCTCCGCTTTCACCCCTACAAATTGGCCATTGTGCAACAGTTACAGCCCGGAGATTATGCACAACGAATGAACTTCGCACGTGAGATGAAAGCACTGATCGATCAAAATGAGAACCTCATTTTGTTTATGAGTGACGAAGCCCACTTTCACCTAAACAGCATGGTTAACCAGCAGAATTGTCGTTATTGGGCTAATGAAAATCCGCAACAGTTACACGAAAGACTGCTGCACAGTAGAAAAGTGACGGTTTGGTGCGCTGTATCGCAAACTTGCATCATTGGCCCTTACTTCTTCGAAGACGGTAATGGTCGTGATGTTACCGTGAACTCAGAGCGCTACGTCGACGTGATCACCAACTTCTTTCTCCCTGAATTACGACGGCGACGTGTTCCAATCCGACGTCTGTGGTTCCAGCAGGATGGGGCGACCGCCCACACAGCCCGAGCATCCATGGACGTTATTCGCCCTCTCTTCCCTGGTCGCCTTATTTCCAGGTTTGGCGATGTTCATTGGCCTCCTCGGTCCCCAGATTTATCCATATGCGATTTTTTCTTACGGGGACACCTCAACGCTAGAGTATACGTGAACAAGCCCCGAACTCTGGACGAATTGAAGGTCGAAATTCGCGTGGAAGTCGCCCAAATTGAGAGAGCGATGTTGGAGAGAGTCTACGCGAACTTCCGAGAACGCCTCCAGCACTGCATCAACGATTTCGGCCACCACATACCTGATGTGATTTTCCACACTTGACTGTCTCAAATGCTATTTCCTTGTGAACCTGATTCATTGTTTTCGATTAAAAATTAACTATTTTATGATTTTTTTAAAACCGTCCATCATCTCTGCCTCTGCCTCTATAATGGAGAGTACCGCAATTAACCAACACTGGCGCGCAGAGTCTACCTACTTGATACAAATCAACTCTCAAAGTGCCCAAAGTAAGAGCTATAGACTAAACGGGACGGTCCGGTTCGGCATCGTAGGCTTAGACCAAGTTCAAACGCAGATATCAAGATTTAATAAGCAATGTCTCATTTACGCCGTTCCAGCTTTAAATTTCTGTACTTCAACTTGAATTCAAAACAATTCACTAAGGCTCAAATATAAATTACGCTAAGGCTGGTAAACCCATTCATAAACGGTTTGTTCGAAAATATTTGAAATAAATGCTTTTACTTTTTGAGTATAAGCACATCCTTCAAGGTAGTGACATAAGTAAAAGGATATCCATAATCTTCACCAAGCTCTGGAGTACAACTGTCAGTGATGCTGAGTGAACGAACTCCCTCGTCAACTACAAGCTGGAACAGGTCAGGACATGTCGCTCAAGATACAAATACCAGTCAACCTTTTACTTCTTCTTGGAGAATATCCTCGCGAGTATGAATATGAAAACAAGGATATGCTTATAATGGGTGATTCAAATTGAGTTTCCACATTACAAATAATTGTTTTTTGGAACGCCACTGAATTTGTCAACGACAACGTGCAATTTCTAACGTCAAAATATGAACAAGGCAGTCATGAAGCAATATGCGACCGAACAAGGGAGAATGCATTTCGTGCTTTACGTGAATTTTGTGGCGCACGAAATCGGCCTTGTGAGAGGGCAGTTTGGAATTTGGTGCAAAAATTCGAGCAAACTGGATCCGTCGCTAACACCAAAACCCCTAGGCGTGCTCGTAGAGGTCGGTCGGAACATGATATTGCTATTGTTGTCGAAAGTGTGACCGAAAATCCAAGAACCTCGATGCGTCATCGATCGCAGTAACTGGACCTTACTTATTAAACTACATAGCGGATTTTAACAAAAGATTTGAATTTACACCCATACAGAATCCAAATAACACAGGAATTGAAGCCTAGGTCACACATCAGGAGAAACGATACAATTACTGCGCGGCAAGTTTCCAGGTCGCGTTATTTCACGTAACGGCGATATCAATTGGCCGCCGCGATCCTATGATTTAACCTTAGATTATTTTCTTTGGGGGTATTTCAAGAGCAAAGTCTACAAGAATAATCCGAACACGATTGCGGAGCCGAAACAAGATATCAGACGCCAAATTACCAACATAGGACCTGATTTGTGCCCCGGAGTAGTCGAAAATTTCTCGAAACGGGTTACGTCATGCCACATGAGCCGCGGCGGTTATTTACTTGATATCATCTTTCAAGCAATTGTAATGAACTGCCCTACATACTTTTTTATAATTTTCAATTTCTTCTTTTTTTAAATACTTTTAATGTGGAAACCCAATTCGAATCACCGTATACTTCTACCTTTTTCTCCGAAGCAAGACCTTAAGGTGCGTATACATATGCGAGTCGAGCGGTTCGCGAGCCGCTTGTGAGCCGCTCGATGGTGGTTCGTTGAAATAATTTTTTCCGCGAACCTCCAGCGATCCACAGATTCAGCGCACCAAACGCAAACAAACATCGCAGTCGACAAATGCAGTATGGCTTCGCGAAACGAAAATTATACTATTTTAGTGATGAGTGCTGCAGTTTTAGTAATGGCTGATGTAAATAAAAAAAAGAGAAGACAACGACGTTGGTGGCGTACTAATTTATTCAAGAAACGCAGTGGTACGGGAATTTTAATGGACCTAAAGTCGCAAGAAATAAGCGGACAGTATAAAAATTTCACTCGAATGACACCTACTGACTTTGAGAATCAGCTGCAAAGGATTGGACCCCATATTTCAAAACGGGAGACTTATTTTCGTACTCCAATCTCTGCCCAAGATAGGTAAGTCGGTGTACCGTGAACAGGTAGCTTTGTTTTTTAACAATTCTTTTAAATTAATATTCTAGGTTAGCCGTAACACTTCGGTTTCTTGCCACGGGAGATTCATATACTAGCCTTCAGTATCTATTCAGAATTTCCAAGCAGTCGATTGGGCGTGTAGTACCCCAAGTTTGTGCTGCACTAATTAAGGAATTGCAGGGATATATCAAGGTAACAACATTAATATATAAATTAAAGGCCTGTGTGTAATTCAAAAAATATTTTTCTTCACTTTAAAGTAATTTCCACCACTAAGTTAACAAACAAAAAATAGAACTCAAAAACGTTACACAAAATCTTCATAATTTTCTGATGTGAGTGACGAAACAGGTGATTGTAGCGATGATGGGTTGGACAATGATGGTTCAGAAGTTGAAGGAACGGTTATTACTTGCAGAGGTTGTGAATAATAAGTTTCAGAAGATTTAGAATATAGATTATGTGAAGTAGGTTGGGAATACATCGAAGAAGTAGGTTGTGAATTGATATGATTGGTAGCTTGTGACTGTATGTAGGAAGTAGGTTGAGAATCATTGTAAGATTGAATTGAAGTCGGATTAAGAAATCCTCTATCAGCTTTAATAATAAGGTCAAAAACGGCATGTTGAATTGTCTGATGTATTGGAGGGGGGTATTTTTGAACCTTTGCAGCAACAAAATTAAAAAATAAATCTATTACACTGGGTTGAGTTGGCTCTTTGTCCATTTTTTTCGCAGCATTCTTCAAAATCTGAAATGCATCACTCATTATTGGAGAGGAAACATTATCTTGTTTTGTTTTTGATCGCTTTGTAGATTTGGAGGTAGATGGTAGCGTAGGTGTCTCTGGTATCGCCTCTTGTTCCATTTGTTCGGAAGATAGGGCAGCTTCGTTAACATCATCCAGCTCCTATTAAATACATTTTTATGTAGTTTATAAATAATGAAATTTTGAAATGAAATTGTGTTAACATAGTATTAGCGATTCCTTTTTTCATTATTTGAGAAGGGTGGTTTTATCTTATTCCAAAATACACCAAAGAAGTTGCGCAAAAAATGATATTAAATAAATAAATTATTAAGATAAGCTAATAATGAATAAAACAGGTCAAAATTAATAATTGTTATTTCATTTCAGCTACCTAAGACTCCCACAGCTTGGAAACAAGTTAGCAAGATATTTGAAACTCGTTGGAACCTTCCTCATTGTGTTGGTGCCCTAGATGGAAAACACGTTGTTTTACAAGCACCAGTGAAATCGGGTACCGAATTCTTCAATTATAAATCCAATTTTAGTATTGTGCTTTTCGCACTGGTTGATGGTGATTATAACTTTATGTTTGCTGACGTAGGCTGCCAAGGAAGAATTTCTGATGGGGGGGTTTTTAAGGCAAGCAAATTATATCAGCAGCTTACAGAAAACAGACTAAGACTTCCAACACCAGAAGAACTAGAAGGATGTTCTATGCAAATACCGTATTTTTTTGCCGGCGATAGCGCATTTGCTTTAAGCGAAAATCTCATGAAGCCCTATACTGGGGACTTTCCAAAAGGAACTCCTCAACGAATTTTCAATTATCGTTTGAGTAGGGGTCGTCGCATAGTTGAAAACGCATTCGGTATATCAAGTGCAGTATTTAGGGTGTTAAGAAATCCAATGCTCTTAGAGCCTGCAAAAGCAGAGTGGGTTATAATGACAGTCATTCTTTTGCATAATTATCTCAGAAAACACTCACCAAATATTTATACCCCTTTTGGCACATTAGATTATGAAGTTAATGGAAATTTAACTGAGGGATCATGGAGAAATGAAGGAGATATGACGTCTATGGTACCTATACGAAATATTCCTCGAAGACCCACAAACTATTATACAAAAGTTAGAGATGAAATCGCTAATTATTTTATAAATAATGGAGCTGTAGAATGGCAGGACCAATATGCTTGAATTTATAACAATAATTACTTACCGTAGCAAGTCTTTTTCGTGGCAAATCTCTGTCTTCTAAAAACCTAAACGCTTCATAGGCAAACCATCTGCTGCAATAAACTTCATCTCTTCCTGAAAATTAAAATCGAGATAGAAATTATACAGGGTTATCCAAATTAAGTGTCCACCATTAGTAACTTTGTTATTAGTGAAAATACAAAGTTGTTTGAATTAGCAAACTAGTAGCATTTTTAACGCTGGTAAAAATGAGAAATAAAAAAAAACAATTGAGAGTCGTTATTTTGATTTTTTTCAGTAAAATAACATTTTTTTAAATGAAAACCCCTGTATATTATATTTTTTTCTGTTAAAGCATCAAATTTTAAACAAAAAAGCTTACAATAACTTTTCTCCTAGGTTACAAATTGTTGAAGTTATGGCCTCCAATCTGAAACAATTAAATTGTATCGACAAACTTTATTTTCAACATCAACTTATAATCTTACAAAATACAATAACAATTTTTTTTAAAGAAGATGCTCGAAAACACCACCTTGTTCTTCAATACATTTTTGGGCACGTTTTTCAACTGCTCGAACTGTCTTAAGTATGGTCCTACCATCTATCTGGGTTATCTTTTCCCTAACTGCAGTCTTTAACGCGTCAAGGTTATCGTACCTTCGCTTGTAAATTTGGTTCTTTAAGTAACCCCACAAGAAGTAATCAAGTGGGTTTAGATCTGGTGATCTGGGAGGCCACTGTATTGGGCCATTTGTTCCTATCCACTGATCATTAAAAGTAGTACTTAGAAAATGATAAGTACCTCTGGAGTTGTGGGCAGGTGCGCCATCTTGCTGAAAATGCAGATGATGTCTACTTATAAGATCCAATTCGTCTAAGAAATTAGTCAGAATTTCTGACATAAATTCCACATATCTTTCACCAGTTAGGGTTCCCTCATAAAAGAACGGGCCAACAATTTTTGAACCAATTATACCGCACCAAACGTTGAAACTGAAACGGACTTGTGGGCCTCTTGGATGTACTAACAAAAGATTTTCTCTTGACCAATAATGGTGGTTTTTTCTATTAAACATTCCAGAATTTGAAAAATTTGATTCATCTGTCCATAAAAGGTAACGAAAGTTATTTACATTTTGGCGACAGAAGCTAAGATACCAATGGCAAAAAACAAGTCTTCTCTCTGGATCCCCTGCCAAAAGCGTTTGAACTGGTCGGTACTTATACGGAATAAATTTGTATTTTTTTAAAATCCTTTGAACAGTACCATAACTGAAATTAGAGTCCTTGAGAATATCTGCTATTGAATTCTCACGATAAGCTTCAAAATATCCAATAACTGCAATTTCCGTGGCCTCGCTTATTATGAATTCTTTTTTTTGCCCTTGTTTTAGCAAAAACATTTTCGTTGCCCCTAAATTTTCGATAAAGTCTCAGAAAATATCGTTCATACGGTTGAATGCGAGCGGGATATAATTCACTGTAGTATTCTCTTGCTCTCAAGGAGGATTTTCTGCACACTAAATAGCATTCTGACATATCACACTTTTCTTCATGGGAGAACATTTTTCTTTAAATTAATGACACAATAAAGCTTATAAACAAGTATTTACACTAATGTTTGACATTATTTGATTCTATCATTGTTTTCCAAAGCCTTCTAGTTGCGAGTATGTCCAGTTTAACAATTTGTCGCTTATCTTAATGCTGTCAAATCGCGAACGCCATGTTGTTTTCATAGCTGTCTTAATATTATAATACTGCAAATAATTAAAAATATTTATCGTTATTTTGACTTTATTTTTGACTTTAGCGGAAAAGTCATTATGAACTTTTTTGTTTAAAATTTGATGCTTTAACAGAAAAAAATATAATATACAGGGGTTTCCATTTAAAAAAATGTTATTTTACTGAAAAAAATCAAAATAACGACTCTCAATTGTTTTTTTTATTTCTCATTTTTACCAGCGTTAAAAATGCTACTAGTTTGCTAATTTAAACAACTTTGTATTTTTACTAATAACAAAGTTACCAATGGTGGACACTTAATTTGGATAACCCTGTATACGACAAGTGAACTAACTTAATTAAAAACATATTATTTAGTTGAATTAAAAATTAAATTAGTATTAGCAAAAATATTTTGTATTATTATTTAAATAAAACACAACTAATTTCTCTTATTTCATTTATTTACCTTTTCCTGTAGTAGTCCCCTGCTTTGTTTTATTTTTCTCCCGGCGGAAAGAAGCCAAGAGGCTTATTATTTTCTTTTTGCATTGTTCAGCAGTGGTTTCCATTCCATCCGCAATTTCCCGCCAAGCGTCCTCTTTCAAATTTTTTTTGAAGTGATTTTCATTTTTAGGATCCCATGATAACGTTTTGATTTTATAAACGTTTATCAGACATAATATTTTTTCTTCCGACCATGAATCCATAACTTTATTGAAGAAAAATAAAGTTCGCTCGCGAGCTAAAGAAAAACAACGAACCTTATCTAAACACGTCCCAATATGCACTGCGAATTCCTTTGTGTTCGTCGAAAAAACCGACAGGCCGCGGCTCGTCGCGAGCGGCTCACGAGCTGCTCACAAGCAGTTCGTTTGGAACCATAAACCCCGTCAAAATTAGCCGAACAAATTGCTCACAAGCGGCTCGCGAACCGCTCGGCTCGCATATGTATACGCACCTTTATACTTTTACCTTATGCTTCCGAGGATATGCTTCTCTCTTATGAATACGGCTCATTATGTAAGATTTTCTACATGATGTCAACTTACCTTCAGTAGCTGTACGTGTTGCCTAAACGTCATGATGCTTCCATAACTGGAAGGAAACCGCAGTGCATAGGTGCATAGTGAGAATTTGTGTGCTAAGAATCTGTGTTGATGATACATCTATTGGCTTCTTGTCTCTACTTAAGATGTATGCAAAGATAGAAATCAGTTGCTCATCCACTTTTACTTATTCACCCTCGAAACTGTATAGATACGCAAATTTGCTGAATTTAAAAATAAAGCTATAAGAAAAGAAAATCCCGGGTTGGTGATGTATATTAAAACAAACCGGTGAGAAAATGTGGTACATACAGGAATATTTATGAAACGTAATAAAGTTATTTTATTTCACATTAATGTTTATTTCGGTCATTTAAATTTTAGAAATTTATTTTACGATGTCAAGTAGAAAATTTAAATCAGCGCCTAGATGTGAAGCAGTGCGAAAATGTTTTGTATGTGATGCGTCATTCCTAATTTTTCTGTGATGTGGCTTAACACATAACGCGGGTGGGGCACTGATTTCCCATAATACTTCTCAAAGCTTTGCAAGCAAAAACGGTGTAAATCATAATTTATAACTTTGAACTCTCTTCAGAAAAGACAACACAAATAAGCATTCTGACACAGCATATATATACTAAGTGACATATAAATCCGACCACCCAGTTTAGATGGTTTTATTTTAATAAAAGTTGGTGAATGTATTTATCTTACTGTAAATAACAAGTGAAAAAATGTTCAGCCTTATCAGTTGTACATTCCGGTTTTTATACTGCTTTTTTTTAATTCACTAACGCTCTAAAAATGAATATTTCAGCCGCAGTAAAGAATCAACGTTGGCGGATTTTGGTTCTTGACATCCTTTACGATCGATTACGATGCCTAGAGTACGGAGACCTGTAAGATTTCGTCAACTTAGTGAGTTTGATAGGAGCCGTATAGTGGGACTTCAGGAAGCTGGACTTTCTTTTCGGGCAATTGCAGTTAGAGTGCAAAGAAGTGTAGACACTGTGGTTAGGTGTTGTCAGGCATGGCTTCGAGAAGGCCGTACGCAAAGAGCAAGGGGCACTGGACGCCGCCGTAGAACAACAGACCGTGAAGATCGCCGCCTAAGATTATTGGCCTTAAGGGACCGTTTCTCCACTACCAGGTCCATTGCAAATGAATGGTTTGTAGAACACGGAAGACCTATTGGCATGCGAACCGACGAATGAGAAGTTTTGGCTTGTTTTCATACCGTCCACACTGGGTCCTCCCTTTAACTCGAGAACACCGACGTAATCGCCTTGAGTGGTGCAGACAACGGTCACTCTGGGATCAGGAATGGAACAGTATTGTCTTTAGTGACGAGTCTCGATTTTGTTTAGGCATGCACGATGGTCGTGCCAAGGTTAGAAGGCGACGTGGTGAAAGGAGGAATCCACAGTTTTTTGTTGAAAGACATGTTCATCACACTGTTGGAGTTATGGTTTGGGGTGCTATAGCTTATAGTTCCAGGTCACCTTTAATCTTCATCAGAGGTAACATGAACGCGCAGCGTTATATCCACGAAGTTCTAGAAGCCCATCTTTTACCCTATCTTGACACCCTGGCAGATCCAACTTTCCAACAAGATAATGCCCGACCACATGTTGCAAGAGTCACAATAGACTTCTTTCAACATAATGATGTCACATTGTTACCATGGCCACCAAGATCTCCCGACTTATCCCCAATTGAGCACGTGTGGGTAGGAGATCGCCCAATTTGCAACGTCCTCCTCAGACTCTAGAAGCACTTCGAGAAGAGTTGGTGGTTACCTGGAATGAGATACCACAGGAGGACATTGACCACCTGATCAGAAGCATGCCTAGGCGCGTTGGAGAATGCGTAGCACATCAGGGTGCATCCACACATTATTAAAGGTCAAGGGGCTTTAAAGCACTGCAATCATTTTGAAATTTTTATCATTTACTTATTATGCTTCATTAAGTACTTATACAAAATTTTATTAAAATAAAACCATTTAAACTGGGTGTTCGGATTTATATGTCACTTAGTATATATGTATTTCATGGGCAGCATATTCAGTAATAATTTTACATAGCAAATATTACTGATTTTAAGCACGTGCGGACCAATACGCACAGTCATCCACATGTGATCCTGCTACTCTGCTACTCAACCAAACATCTTCTCAGAGCATCTTGGCATTCTACAACCAACAAAACATTATGGGGAAATGACTTTCATGCTCATTGAGTATGTCGTGTCGCTGAGTCATTCATCCATAGATTTACTATTTGCACACTGGGAACTATCTAGGCAGCAAGTAGACATTTTGACGTCTTTTTTGAGTTTTACAGGTGTTTACGTAATAGCCCTGTCGGTCTCACAAGTGTGGCCTCTAGATGCCACCGATTCTGGTTATAAGGTCTGAGGACAAACTAGTAACGAAAGCTATCACCAGTTTGTTCAATGGCGGATAGACCGTGTCCACTATAGCACCAGCATCGGCGGCATCTAGCGGACACAATGCTTACCGGGCTGACAGTGCAAAGATGAGAGATGCAGTGTTCTCAGACAGCTCGATGTTTTCATCTTCGCAGTAGTCGATTCTTGTAACAGAGAGCATTGTGCTATTTCATTTCGATAGACGTTGTACTTTGGATAGAGGGTAGTTGATCAGCTTTCGTTCGTTGCCCTACCTGAGACCAAGCCTACACCATGCTGAGGAGTTGCCAATAGGATGAAACAGCTACTCAAAATATTTTATTATGATTTGAAATACAACCAACTGATAAATAAGGTAATAAATTGCTAATAAATGTTATCAGGAATAATTTTGTAAATACCCCTCGTATATGCAGAAATGGGTCAGTGCTCCAACCTGGTTTCACAAAATAACCGAACGACATTCGTCATGTCATAACAGTTCAATTTCGGTACAAGCACGATTCTCTGGTGTTTTTAATTCAGATCGATGCCAGTTTAATTCCAATGCCATAGCCACCCGCGATGATTAAAGACCCGACTGTTCATTGGTCGGATTTGGCGGAAAAAATCGATAAAGTCCAAAAGCGGTCCAGTTGCATACGACACTACCGAGATTGATGGAACTTTAGAATCAAGTGACAGAACTATACAGGGTGACTTGTAATGTCACGTATTCCTGTTAAGGGGTGATAGATTAGCTCAAAAGCAACCGATTTTGTCCTATCATTTTTGAGTTATTTGAATTTTAAGTTTTTTATTTTTCATTCCGATGTCAGACGCTTAAAATTAAAATACAAAAAAACTGCATGCTTGATTTTGAGTTTTTTGTTATCGTCGCATAGCAGACATTCCAATAGTTCATAATACGTAACAAAATGTTAAAAAGCTACAAATGTTTTAAAATTACGCTTTTTAAATGTATCATTTTCTTTTTTTTTTACTAACTTATTCGATAAAAAATGCAATTTTCTGTAAAAAATCTCCTAGTAATGAAATGTGCAGATTATGTAAATCATCAACATCATCCAACAAGCTTTCATTTGAGGTATAAAAGTTACAATTAACTCAAGTACAAAGACATAACATTAAAGAAAGATGAGTAAAGTTGTACGAACGATAATTACGTAGGATAAATAAAAGGCTTTTAATTTAATTACAGTGAAAAATCTAGTAATGAAATGTGCAAATTATGTAAATAATATCTCTATCTAACAAGCTTTCATTTGAGGTATTAAGCGTTCAATTATCTGAAGTACATGCAGAGAAATAACAATGACACCCGCAGAGGCTGGATTTTTAAGGAATTTGTATTACCTGTTTGAACAAGTCGTTACTGTCCTCAAAGGACTCGCATGCCATGATTGTTTTATGGCATCGGCTCGACGAGGAAGCGAGCGAGAAGAACTGACTTAGTGGAGGAGTGAGAGAGCGAGAGCTGGTATTATTCATCATTGTAGTTACGCCATCGCCGCACGCCGAGTGAAAATTAGGTTTAGTTGGTATCAACTACTGCGTACGCGCACACGTTTTACGCACGATTATTATTTTCGAGTTTCCCAGTTCATTTCGGGTGGTTTCTTTATCATCATGACAGACGCAGAAGATCCGCCAGGACCTCGCCATAGCGAGCACGGGCAAACTTTTACAAATGAAGAATACGCAGACATAATGTTCTGTTATGGACTTTGTAACGGCGATACTGCAGCTGCCCGCCGTGAATATCGGCAACGCTTTCCGAATCGCCGAACACCTCATGTTACTATGTTTGACTCTGTGTATCGGCGCATCCGCCAAACCGGACGTGTTCAAAGGCAACATAGCGATGCTGGTCGACCCCGAGTCTATCCTCCTGAAGATGAAGAGGAAATCCTTCGTGTGTTTCAGGAAGACCCACTACGTCTACGCGCATTGTGGCTGCTCAGTTGGGTATATCACAATACAAAGTATGGTTTACTGTGCATACTGCAAGATTATACCCTTATCTCTACACGATTGTGTATGTGATTGAAGAGAGCGATCCTGCAAGATGATTAGATTTCTGCAGGTACATGTTACATGCAGA